AACTTTAAACAGTAAGATTTCGAGTGAAGCAAATGTTAGCCGTCAACTTTTAAACTTTGGAAAATGGTGTCATTAAAGGAGTAACACCCACAATAACAAGACTACAATGAAACAGTCAATATGAATATGGTGTGAATGAGAAGAATTGTTTGTTCCCCCGGCTGAGGAATGCGGGTCAGCCTTCTCATGCCTCCCGACAGCCTTGTCTGGGCCCTAACAAGTGGCTCTTGTGTCCCTGTCTGTGCGTGGTTTGTGACTGGTGAGCAGCTCGTCACACAGGGTTTCTGTGAAGGCTTGTATCTCCCAGCCCAGCGGACCCAAGTGCGTCTGAGAAGCACTGCCGGTGGCTTCACTCCCCCTTGGCCCTGCTTTGGGGAGTCACCAACTCCAGCGGACACTCTTCTGTCCTTGCTTGGCAGTGTGTCCTCAAACCAGCTTTTCCTGCAACTCCAGGATCCCCAGCATGCCTTAGTGAGTGGAGAGGCTTTTTATTTTTTAAACTTTGGCCAAAAGGGAAACAGGCATTTCTATTCTTCTTTGTAAATGAGGCCATTTCAGGTGAAGCGATTTGTGAGACCATCTTCATCCCCATAAACCCCTGGGGCCGTCTTTCTTCCTCCCCTGCCACACCCCTCACTCACTCATTATCATCTTTTCTGCTTTGGTTGTCAAAGTCTAACCATCAGCATATTTTCCAAGCTTGTCTTATATTCTACTACATAAATCTTTCTACAGTAAAACATCCCTGCCCATGCTGTCTCCAAAATCCTAGCTCTTGGGGCTCAGCAATTTCTCAGGTTAGGTTTTGGGTGAGGTCTACAAGAAGGAATTACAGTTAGCCCAAAGGATGAAAACTGCTAAGCAAAAGAATAAACTATGTGCCACCTTGAGAGGGGGTTTTAGCACTTTCCTTGTGCATTGAAATGTGTTCTTTAACCTCTTCGGGAATGGAAGGACGCGTGTTTGCCAATTCAACAATCATCTGCTTGTAAGTCATAACAGGAGGGTGCTTCTGTTCCAAACCTCACCCTTCTAGGAGTATCAGTGTTCATCTAGGACCTTTGTTTTGCTTTGGGGAAACAGAGGGCCAAAGTAATGCTTCATGCTATTCCAAAGTTAACTAGTATCTGAAGAAGCTAGAGGAATATGAGAATGCAACCTATTTTCTGAGGGATAGGGGTGCTGAACATAGGGCTGCCCACATGCTAAGCATGTGCTCTACCACTGAGCGACACCCCTAGCCAGGGGTATTTTTTATTGGTAAGTAATCACAAATTTTTGGACAAATCAGCTGTAAAGGTTGCTGCTGCTTTTCAGCTGAACTGATGTTGCTATGGTTGTGGTTGTTGCTGTTGCTGTTGCTATTGTTGTTGTTGTTGTGTTTGGTTCTGGAGCTGGAACCCAGGACGTCACTCTTTCTAGTCAAGCACTGAAGCCTGGAGCTACACCCCCCGCCCTAAGCCGATTGTCTTCAGCACACTCGACCTGCTTTAGGGAGGCAAGTCCTTCGATCCAGCCCAATGCATGCCAACCCTTTTCCTCTCAATACTGACTCTCAAAGGAGAAAAATTAAATTTAAGTTAAAGTCTAGCAAGAGAAATTGAATACAAAGGGATCACACTTGGTCAGGCAGGGTTGAACTTGAACGACCACCAACCACTGAAGTATCAGATTTCTGGCCCCCCAAAACTCACCTTTCTCCTTGGAAGGCATTTAACACCCCAGTTAAGAATGTACACCCCAGCCAAAGTCCATATACCACAATGACTAACAGATCCAGCCCTGTTCTATGTCTAAATCTTTATAGAAATTTAGTTTTACTCTTTTATAATTATATTTTTACTCATTTTCCTCTTAGTAGCTTAGAAACTTTGCTCAACAGGATTTTTAAAATTCCAAGCAATGATGTTTCAATGTTTTTAAAAAATGTACGGACTGACAAATGAGTGAAACCCAAAGACTAATTACTGTAACAATTAAGAAGCCAGTGTGCCCCCAGTAGCACTGTCTCTTTATCCCCTGATGGCTGATGCGAATTTCAAACATTAAAGGCATCTCCAGGTGCTGCTCCAGACAAGTGACCGGTCTGCTAAGGCACCAAAGGTTTTCAAAACCCACCGGTTCTTGCCCATTTTTTTGAAGCATGACAGGTGCAGGAGGCGGTAGCAGAGACTCGGGCCTTGTTTGATGTCTTTGTGACCATTTCTCTACCAGACACAATAAGGTGTGGGAAGTAGTAATTATGCTCTCTCAAAGCAGCACTGCAAATTTACGCACAAAAATGAACACTTAACCTTTCTCACTCTTGTGCCTGGACTGGCTGGTAAGAGTGTAGCCAGCAGCAGGGTGAATGGCCCAGGCAAGGCAGAACAGAGCACCCTGTAATTAGGAGGGAGGATATCCCCAAGGAAGACTGCGGAGGTGGGCGGGGGGCTCCTCCACCCCTGCCAGACCCTGAGACCCCACAAGATGCTGGGAGACTGGGTCAGCAGCGCTAAGTCTTCTCCAACCCTATTTCCTTCATTAAACCCATGCTCTCCTATTTCATTCTTATCAAATCTGTTACCACCCACAACCCAAACCAATAGACAAGTTTAATCAATTTTAGCAGCAGCTGCTGCAGAGAAATTTAGGGTAGGTACTAGCAGTTACAAATAGGAAAGAGCACTTGATTTTTTTTGAAATAGGGTCTTGCTCAGGACTTCAACTCACAGGATAGCCCAGGCTGGCCTCAAACTCACAGCGACCCTCCTGCCTCAGCCTCCTGAATGCATGGATTACAGGCATGTGCCACTACACCTGGCCCAATTATGTTTTTTTAAACTGCCATATATTCATGGAGCAAGTTAACATTTAGAAGGTGTGCTCATAAATACATTGGAAGGCCAGGGATATAGCTCGGCAGCATAAGCACTTGCCTGGCAAGCTTGAGGTCATGAGTTCAATTCCCTGTACCAAAAGAAAAAAAAAAAAAAAGCAATAAATACATTGGAGTTTAAATTTGCCACAGACTAGACAGGTATTAGCTGTATTTTAGAGGAAAGCTAAGGTCAGCTGCATGAGGTCCCGGGTCCCAGCCCCAGTACTGCAAAATATAAAAATAAATAAGTAAATAGCTCCTGTCTTAAAACATGGCTGGCAGTTTAAATGATGTGAAGTTTGTGAGGCACTGATTACAGTAACTGACCAAAAATAAAAACATTCTAGTACCACTAGGACTTATATTGGGGTTATATGAAATACTAAACAACATGCACAGAGCCAAAATGACTTGATTTTGGCAATTCTCAAAAGGAACAGGGAAATAGTCGCCTTTTCCTCAATAGTTACAAAACATACAATTATCTCCTTCAGCAATAAAGCCGCAAGGCAAAATATATCTTCCTTAAAACTATCTTCTTTAGGCCGGGGAGATCTCTCAGTGGCATTCAGTGCTTGCTTTGCAAGTGCAAGGTCCTGAGTTCAATTCCTAGTACAAAAAAAAAAAAATCTGCCTCCAAAGTTTTTCACCAATAACTTCTCATCTCTTCTCCTAAACTCCATGTAATAAGCAGAACTCAGCGTCTGGGGGTGTAGCTCAGCGGTAGAGTGCTTGCTTAGCATGTGCACGGCCCTGGGTTCAATCCTCAGCACCACCAGAAAAAAGAAAATCTGGAAGGTGAAGTTTGAAGTATTTCCTATAGTTAGCCATTTGATAAGCCATGTGAAATTCATCTACCTATGCCAAACCAAAATGTAAGCCTGGTGGGGGGTAAATCTGTTTTCTTTGGCCACTGTATCCCAGAGATCAAAAAATATGTGTTAAGGATTGGAAATAACGGTGCTTGAGCCTAGCAGTCTCATCTGTGAGTGTCGCAAGTGGATTGGTCTGGAGTTATTTAGTTTTCTATCACTGGTCCATAATCATTCACTTATTCAACACACTTCCGAAGGTCCAACTGCGTGCCGAACATCAGGCGGGGTGCAAAGCACAGAAATGGCAGAACAAGCGCTGGAGTGGAGGTCCATAAGTCCTACAGCAGGGACTTTGCATGTTCCAGGCCCTGGGTTCAATCCCCCAGCACCAAGGAAAAAAAAATAATGAAAAGAAATGTCAGAATAAGAGGCCCGAGTCCAGGAGAGGACAACCATCTGCCGCCATTGCCCCTGGGCTCCCTTTTCTACATGCTTTTAGAAGGCTGGGCATGTAACAAGCTTTCTGCTGCAAAGGAGAGGAAATAGAACCGTGCGTGACTTTACGTGCACTCTGGTGCCTGGGCTCCTGCATCTCCTCCCTTCTGCTTGCGTTCTTGCTGCCCTGTCCCTGGGCTGGAGTTGAGGATCCGACCCCGCGGTGGGACGCCCGAGCTGGACCTCCGACCACACGGGCCATGGGCCGCATGCTTGCTGCCTCCGCTGTTATTTTAATTATGATTGTACCTTAACCGCCACCTCCCTTCCTCTGCCTGCCTTCAGCAGCAGTGATGTATGTTACTTTTTGGTAACTGGATTTCATTAACATTTATGAACTCTCATAAAGTAGTAGAAAAAGCAATTTGTGTGGAAGAATTTTCCACCTCATTAAACAGTGTTCTTTTGGGGGTCAAGCTGATATTTTTGTTGTTGTTGTTGTTGTTCTTGGATTTTTTTTTTTTTTTTTTTTTTACAGGTCCTTGCCTGAGCCTTGGGGTGTGGGAGGAGGGCAGTCCATACGCCGCCCGGGCTGGCGAGCCCTATAGAGGGCGCTAGACAGAGGTCGGGCCCCGCGCTCCTGCCTCAGCCTCTCCAAGCTCCAGCCAGGTGCGCCCTGCCCCCGCCTTGGCCAAACCTGAGTCCTTCTCCTGCTGCGCGCGGTGGCGCCCGGGTAAGGGCCACGCGCAGCTGAATGCCGCTCCTGGGTACGGCTCCCATCTGGCTCTAAGGGTGCCCAGGGTGCTTCTCAGGGCACCTTGGATTACTTGTCGTGAACGGTCCCCAGCGAGATTGCAGCTCCTCGACACCTCCTTGGCACAAGCGCCCTGATGCGCCCCCTCGAGCCCCTCGCCTTGACGCTAACCTCGGGGAAGACAGGTGCGGGCAGCTGGAGACGCCTCTGCTCAGGCTTTTCCAGGCCGAGGCCCGCGTGTGACCAGCGCAGAGACGAGGATCAGCCGCGGCTCCCGGGCCCAAAACCATTGTTTGCTTTCACACCCGGACTGCGGATGGAGCCAGCCCTGGGCGCGCGGGCTGCGGCCGACGCCTCCACTCGCCAGCTGTCCCCGAGCCCCGCATCCACCTCCCAGGTCCGGGCCCTGCATGGCCCAGGGCACGCGGGGGAGCCCCTCACTCGTCAGGGGCGTCGATGGCCCAAGAGCCGCTTCCCCCGTGGGAAATGCGGCCGTGAGTGTGCGCGGCCTTGGAGAGGGGCGCGCTGCCCCACACCCTGCCAGTCACCCGACTCCAGGCCCTCCAAGAGCAAGTGCAAACCGCGTCCCGGACCTTGACTCTTGTGGGGCATAGAGCTAAAACCCAAAGACACGGTGGCCGCAGGGAGCAGTAACAGTAACTCAGGAATCAGGTGACAGGTGCTGAGGAAATGAACACGCAAAGCCAGCGCTCTCTTCGGGAAATGTAGAAAGGTGAAACAGTTCTAACCCTGTGCCCATCTCGGCGGGGGCGGGGGCGGCTCTGCTCTCCAAGAAATCGGTCATTTGGGACTCGGGCCATGGTGTTAAGCCAGACAGCTCCCAAGCCAGATCTTATTAAGGGAGACCTCAAGGCCTGTTAGCAGGTGACCCGGGCAAGGGCAGGAGCGTGTCAGCCGTCCAGTCTCGGGAGAGGCTGTTGGCTTGAGCCAGTGTAGACCAGGGCTGGGAGTGTAGACCAGTTCTTCCCATTTGCTGAGTCAGCCGCGAGCGTTGCTGTTGCCAGCCCAGGCGACGGTGCTGCGCTGACTGGTGTGTGGAGTCGGTGGTGTAATTATTGTTTTGTTTTCTAATATGTAATTACTCTCTGTCGTCGCTATTATGAATCCACCGAGCTTGACTGCAGCAGCAAGATGGATTCAGGTTTGGTACTGGGATTCGATGCGTGGGAAACATGGCCTTCTGCCCTCGCGGAGGACACTGGGCCCACGCGACTCCCCCAGCGCAGGCCAGAAAGGGGGCGCCTGGGGTCCCCCTATTACAAGAAGCCACCCAGCCTGGTCGCCTCCCCACAGATCCACTCCCTCAGAGTGTCTAGAGTTTTTCTTTTTCTCTCCCGCATAGTATAAAAGGAGGGAGATGGGAGGAAGAAAGCAGGGAGATAAACAGAGAAAGAGAAAGGACTGCAGGGTTGAGAACAGAAAAAAATAGAGCCGAGAAGGAGCAAGCATAGGTGAACAACCAGGCTGGGGGTGAGGTCGGTGAGTGTTTGGCGCACAGGCCTGAGGCTGAGGATTCCAGCTCCCCGGGAGGACTCTAGCTTCTTTCCAAATGTTTTCTTCCGACTTTTAAGGAGACCCTGGAAAGTTCCACCTTTTCCTCTTGTTTTCCACCCGCTGCTTATCCCAGCCCTAAGCATGCAGGTTCAGCCCAGCCTTAAACTGCAGCTCTAAACCTGACTGCACAGGCTCGGCCTCCCCACCCCAGGAGGCGACCCCTCACGCCTCCCCAGAGCCGCACCCCCAATCTCAGGCCCTGAGGACACAGAACAAAGAATCGAAGCCTCCGGCCCCTCTCGCAGGAACCCCACACCCTAGACCCCTCTGGCAAACGTGGACCTCTGATCAAGCGCTGGAGACCCCCGACCAGGTGGCTGGGCACCGCAGCACCTGCACCCCGGGCCCCGCAGGCCCCGCCCAGCCCCGACCCTGCCCGCCACTCCGACTGCAGCCGGCAGGTGCGGGAAGAAGCCTTGCTAGGGGACCCCAAGCCCGAGGGTGGAAAGGGAAGGTGTCCTGCGCACCTCGGAAAGCGATCCATTTTCTCTAACCATTTGCCCCAGAGCTATCGGGCCTCCTCGGCCTCCCAGAGAAGAATATGTTAAAATTCTTTGCGCCAGAGTCTGCCCAACCCAAATACACCCTACTGTGGCTTTCGCCGTGCAGATCCAGGGTCCTTAACCTCGGCCTCTTTCTCCGGTTGAAATATGCACATCGCTCTTCAATAATTTAGACACCTGGGAGACTGGACAAGTGTAATTTTTTTCCCCCAAACACACGGGCATCCAGGTTGCCATCAATCATGCTTTTGTTTTATGTGAGATGGGCTTTGTGTGTTTAGCTACTCGGCTCCATCCTATTTGCATGCGGCTATTTAATGGGCATTTATTTTAGCTTTGAAGACCTGCTTTAAAAATCTAAGCTCAGAAAAGGGGAAAGAGGAGCCTCCCTTGTGGTTCGGACGGATTTGCCTTTGAGGAGACGGACCCTGCGGATCTCGATTACAGAATCGAGCATTTTGATTCTGAGATGGGGCCCGTCAGAGGACGGAAAAGATATGTTCAGTTTCCTAAATCTCAGGGTTTCTTTCTATTAAACAATGCTGCAGTCAGTATTTGTGTATGAGGCAAGTAATTGTGCTGCAAAGGCTTGAATAAATCATTGATGGGTGAAATTACACATGCTCACTTAAAGTGTAATGTGATTAAGAGATTATGAGATTGAAGCTAATATCTTGTCTCCCAGCTCCTGGCCCCAAATCTTGACATCAGAAATTTATCAGCCACAACTGTCCTGAAATGCACAGATACAATAGGTTTCCCTGGGCAAGCGAATCAAAGACAACCTCTGAAAAAATAGAGATAGGTGCGTGGGTGAGTGATGTACATTGTGTTGGTCGCGGCTTTGCCATCAAAAGACATCAGGAGCGAAGAGATGCTGAGCGTCTTTGATTTTTAGAGAGTAAACGCAGAGGGGGCGCAGGGGGCGCGCCGGGCGCCAGGTCTGCGGGCGGCTCGCCCCTGCGCCGAGGGAGGGCGGCTCGTCCAGTCCCCGGCCCAGCCCGGTGCCCGTGTCCGTCTCCGCCCGGCGCGGTGGGTAAGTCCTTTATCGGGGGAACCCGGGCCTCGCCCGCAGCCATCCCTGCCTCGAGGCGCGCGCTGCGCCCGGGCGCGGGAGGCGCGGCGACTCCGTAATGACCCGGGTTCTCTGCAGCTGCGCCCTGACCCTTTGTGATGGCGCCGATAGCGCTCGGCTGAAATTATGTCCTTCTCCGGGTGTGAAATTACCATGTTTATTAATTGAGCCAGACATTAGCTTTACCTTTTCTTCCTAAGCCGTGAAAATGTGCGATTCAGGGCAAATGATTCTCCGACAGACGGGACGCCGGGCCTCGCACCCCTCCT